GTGCTCCAATCCCTTTCAGTGCCTGAAGTCACCATGAGCTTTGCAAGGCAGAAAGGAGCCAGCCTGGGGAGGCTGTAGCTGGTGCTGTAGAGGTCAGCAGTGCCTGGCAGGTCATTACAGGAGGCACCATGCTTTGCTGTTCAAAAACAAGGCCTTACTTGAAAAGAAGAGGTGGGGGTTGGGGGTGTGTGTATGTGTAAAATAATCCCCATACTGACCCTGGTTTTGCGCTGTTCAGCCTGAGTCAAAGTTTTATTAAAGATTTCCATTCAGCAGAACCATCTAATAAATCTTACTGGTTAGCAGTCAGAGGAGGAGGAAGAAAATGCTGTTCTGGTGTCTGTTGGGAATTGCTGGTACTAAATTAGCTTCTCTGGAATTATTGCTGGCACCACCATGCTGCTGCTGTTGCCCCGTGGAGGCTCTCTGTAGCACAAGCCTGTTTGCACGCTGCCTGCATTCTAAGCAAGCAGAATATGGAATTTTTAATCATGCACAGGAATGCATTTGGTATTCTTTTCACTTGTGGAAAAATAAACCCTTGAAGGGCACTGCAGGAAGGAAGAACTCCCACCTGCAAAGGGAAGCCTTGCCATGCTGAAGGGGAGGGATATCTGCAAGTCTTTTTGGAAGGAGGTGTCTGGCAGAGCAAGGTGTCATCATCTCATCCTGGCTTTTCATTCCTGTTGGCTGATGTCCACCTTCTCAAGATCCTGCAAATAAACAGGGGCTGCCAAACTGAGAAAGGCTGTGTGGCAAAAATGCTCACACTTGTCTGATGTTTGGGAAATGTCAAATATTTCCCTCACCTGTTGTGTGGAAGGTGTTCAACCTCTCAGTGAATTTTAAAATGCTTCAGGCCCATTATAGCCCTTTTCTCATTTAGCACCATCTTTCAAAGGGTTAACTCTACATCAGCATGAATTTCTTATTGACTTCCATCAGGCTGGGCATAATCTGAAAATGATCCTCAATTTGCTCTTCTGTTGATTGTGAGCTGGAGACTCAAACCATTTATTTTTCATTTTTCATTAAAAGTAATTTAACTTGATATTAAAACCATTTGAATGGACCTTTAATTTTTTACAGGCAGAGAATGTCACACACATTTCTTTTCCCCCTGCTTGAGGCTATCATGCTCCCTCATCACTAACATGTAGAAACAAAGCAGATAAAAATAAAAGTGATGCGGTCAAGATTTTTCCCAGCAAATTCAGTATTGAGTGATTCCTGGTGAGAGGAGATCAATAGCATGCAGTTAATTTTTAAGTTGTTTATGTTGCTGCTTTTAAACCATGCTTTTTGTGATCCATGCTAATGAGTGGAATGAGGAATTTATAGATTCACAGGCTAAGGTCAGAAGGGACCTCTGTGCTTAGTTAATCTGAGCTTGTGTATATGCAGGCCATGGACATTTCCCCAGGCAGCATCTCTCCTGGAAACGTATCTAATCTTCTCTTAAAAACAGCGAGTGTTGGTGAGTTCACCCCCTCCCTTGCTGCTTCTCTGTTTAATTATCCTTGCTGTTGGAAAAGTGCTTCACTTAGGAGATGTGTAACTTGATTTTCCAGCCCTTGTAACCTGCTATGCCTTTGTCTGCGAGACTGAAACCTTCTCCATTTGCTCCCAGTGATCAAGTCACCTCTCAGCCTTTCTTTGATAAACTCCTTGAGTTTCATGTCAAAGCTTCCCTTTGAACTTCTATTGATATTTCCACATGTTGATGCAGGACCCAGGACCTACACTCGTCTCCCAGCGCCGCATGCGGCAGCACTCGCTCAACCCAGCTTCAGCTTGTTTTCATTTTGGTGTTGGGGTTGTTTTATATCCCCAATATTGCACTGACCTTTCATCCAGAGTATTGTGATGGGAGCTCATGTTGTGCTGCTCTGAGTGATCTCGTTTGTGTCCTCCTCTGAGAGCCTGGCTTTCTAAGGGAGTGGGGCTGCTATGAGTGTGCTCGCTCTGTGTCTTACTTTGTATTTAAAATATCACTGCTGGCTTGAGACAGTTCAACTGAGATATTCAGGGAACTGATAAAATAGCTCTTTCTGTAATATTTTGTAACCAGTAAGTGTTAAGCCCCCTGCAGCCTTATCAGGAGAGATTTTCTATTACTTGGATTGTTGATAGATGTATTAAATAGCATTGGAGAAGAAGAAATGCTTGCTGCCAGTGGCCTTGCTGAATGATACTTTCTCATTAACAACTACATTTTGAGATGTGTCAGTGAAGCAGATTTAATCTCTCTACCATGTGCCTTGTTAATTCCATATAATGCTGGCCAAATACCTTGGAGAAATTGCAGTATATTACAGCATCACAGCTGTCTTTAGCAGCCAGGCGTGTTGTATTACCAAAACAAAGAACCAGGCTTCCCAATACCTGTGGTGGACTTGGCAGTGTCAGGTTTATGGCTGGATTCGAGGACCTTAGAGGTCTTTTCAAACCTAAATGAGTCTATGACAACAGGGTGGTTTAACAAGCTTCATTTTGCAGAAAAGTGCATTGATTGATCTTTATTATTTTATTAGCATCTAGTTATTTGTTGATGAAATCCCAAATTAACCACTCTGGTATTTTGCAGAGGACCAACATGAGGCTAAGTGAGACCACTTACCTTGATGCTAGTGCTTTGCAAAATTAATTGCTGCACTGAAATTCTCCTTTTCACCTTTTCAAAGTACAGAAACACTCTGGCAGTGCCCTGATCCATCCTCGACTTGAAAAGTTATTAAAAATCAACATTAGTGGCTCAATCAGCTTCTCAATGAAGTATCTAAAGACAAATGTGTCTGAGACAGCTGCATTGCTGGATCTGAGAATATAATTTCAGAGTTCCCATCTTTCCTTGCTGCCAACAGTAACTGCTTTTGGTCCCTCACAGCAGAACACAGAACCAAATCTTCTTGCTCCCTTTCAAATACAGATGAGAAACATCTACCCAATTGGTCTGTATTTTACTTTGCTACCTCATCAGTCTCATCAGCAGTGGTTTTATAACCGATTCAAATTACAAATTTCGTCCCCAAAGTTTTTAAGTGCCTTCCTTTTTATTCTCATTAGCCCTCAGCACTGGCTCCCTCAGCCTCCTGTAGCAGCAGCAGGTTTTAAACCTATTTGTTACTGCTGACCACCTATCTTCCCTATTTCCACACACACTGATTTATTTAGGTTTTGTCACAGGCTTTACCTGTCTTTGGGCTGAAATATTTTTCCTTGACTGTTTCCCAGTGCATTCAAGAATCTTTGAAATGGTACCTTTTTTTGCTTCCAATTATATGTATTTTTTTTTGGTGACCATTCCACTATAAATGTGGGTTTCCTGACCATCATTGCTTTAGGCATTAGAAAAAAATGTCATTTAAAAGTTTGAAGGTACTTTTTATGTACAGGTGGCAAATTCTGCGTAAACAAAGCCCATTATTATGGTGCCTAAGCACTAGGGAATATTTAGGTCACTGGTTCACTTTCCTTGGTTGTTCTGTTCTGCATGGTGCAGAGCAAAGCCTCCCTTCATGTTAGAAACCCTGGCAAGTTTTCAGGTGAGGTACTCAGCCAACAGCTGAAATCAGCCATGGAATTTCTCTTGTATACTTAACAGATTCTGGTTACTTTTTACAAACCCAAGATGTTCAAAGAGCAGCTCATCCCTCTCTATGATGGATGGGAAGATGCAGGAACGTATCAAATGTCCAAGTCCCTCATGGTTCATTTTACAGCTTAGGGCTCTAATACTGAGTTGTATTGTTATTTCTGGTTTTCAGGAGAAAAATATCATTATATGCTGCCTGAGCACTGCACTCCTCGTCCTGCTTTGCCTCCTGCTAGAGTGGAGGCACAGGGAGGATGTTTCCTTAGAGCAGGGGAACAGGGCAGCAGCCACTGGGATGGAGCTGGCTGGGGACAGAGCTGGTGCAGTATCTGCTCCAGCAGCCAAGAAAGGGTGCCTCTTAAATTAATAAAAGGAAGGGAGAAAGGTGAAAATGAGAAAAAAAAAAAAAACCCAGCAAAAAGAGAAAAACTGAGCATGATTTCTTAAAAGGCATTTTCTCATGTGCATTGAAGAGAAAAGCTAAATCCCAGTTAAAACATGGAGGTGATTTCCAGCAGCAGGATAGGGACCAGGAACACCCCGGAGCAAGGTGCAGTTGGCTGAATATTTGGAAGAAGTTGCTGCTCTTCCTCCCACCCCAGCCAGTGTTTTGTCAGGACAGTGCCTGGCACATCCCCTCCACCCTGCCTTGGCTCAGTGCCTCAGGGTGCTGCTGCACCAGACATGGATAACAAACCCTCACCTGATGCCTGTGGCAGTGTCTAGAGACCAGCTGTGGCTTTTCCAAGAAAACCAGCAGCTCAGCCCTTCCCCAGCCTGGGAATCTGCTCTGTGAAGGGCTGGCTGTGCAAAACAAGCCTGTCTTTCAGTAGCAGCCATGTAAAATTATTTAAAAGGCCTTTAAGTGCTGCCAGTACCTGCAATGGCTGCCAAGTTTTATTTTTGTCAGACAATTGGTGAAATTGGTTCAACTTGTGACCACAATCAGGGAATGGAGCCCAAAAAGCAATCACAAGCACCTAATAAATAATAGTAATTAATAGTGTGTAGTGCTTACTCAGTATTCTTTTTCTTTCAAGGATCTTTTAGCTGGTTAGCAAAAACATTCCACATAATGGTGGTCTCTCCTCCAGAGGGTATTTATCATCCTCTAGTTGCACATGGCAAAGTGAGAACAGCATTCCTGTAGTCACAGGAGGAGCCCAACTCACATCCCACCCCATGATCCATCGCGCCTGAATGTGAGGAGACACGTGAACCATAACAGAGTGCTGAATGTACATTTTGGGAAATGCTGTGTGCCTGAGCACGTACAGAAAAGAGATGAGGAAAAACCCCAAATGGTTCACACCTCCCTTCCCCTCTCCCCTTCACTGGTAGTAGCTTATTTATCAACAGAAAATGTTAAGGCACCGGTAATTCCATTTTAATGTTTTTTTCTCACCTGCAGAACTGCCTGGAGTGGTTCATGTTGGGACCTGCTTTAATATTGCCTTTCTCTGGGTCATAGATGGTGGTTGCTCGTGCATAAGCTCCTCCAAGAATAAAGATGAACCCATTGAGAGTGACTGCAGGAGCATATTTGTTATCTGTCAATGGAAAGCAACACTGAGATCAGTTTTAGGCTCAGGTTTGGAGACTGTTTTTTTATTTATACATTCCCCTTATTTATAGATAAGTCACGTTTCTCTAAACCTCCAAGGCTAGGGAAAGAAAAATGAGGAAACCTTTCCTGGTTTTGTTCCCCTCTCTCCAAGTTCTCAAAGGCACTTTTAAAGTTCATCACTTCTTCATCCCCCAGTATGTGCCTCCCTCTAAACTGGTAAAGAGCAATTATATTCTCCTGAAGCCTAATGGAGTCACCAAGAAAGTTCCACAGTTACATATGAAATTAAGAGGTCAGATTGTTTCAGAATTTTTAATTGCTGCAAATTTTAGCTGAGGTGCTTCCCATGCCTGTGCAGCAGCTAAGTATAGCAGAAACCCACAGCACAGAGACCCCCTTAATAATATCCAATAGTTGATACTCTTTTATATTGTGCTTTTGCTTGTGGGAATGTCACCCATGCATTTCCAGGAGATTTTCTGAGACCTGATTTCTTTTTCACCCTTATCTGTCTCATAAATTCACCTGCATTTTTATTTTCAGATGTGTGTGTGTCTCCAAGCAGTCCTGTAATTTAGCAACAAACTGTGTGAGGCTGGGAGTTTGAAATTAAGCAAATCTCTCATCCTCTGTCAAGTTCAATCAGATTTTCTGAGGACACTTAAAAATTCTTGTTAGTGGTGGCATTATTAGAAATATTAGTAAAACTAATCATAAATTATTGAATAAAATAATTCTAATCTAATTAGTTGGCTTGTCCCTTATGCTGCTAGCACGCCATATGCACATTATTAAATATGAGCCAGTTGGGCTGAAATTTCTCATGATGATGTCTGTCTTGATGAGATACAGTTTTTTAATCAACATTTCTGCGGAACCAGTCAGTAGTGCTTGGGAACAAAAGATGGGAAAATACATTCTTTGAGTTAAAATAAGCCTCACAACCAGTTCTCTAAGAGGTAGGTGGCTTAACCCTTTGGGGTGTGAAGGGCACGTTTCCTGGGAGGCCATCCTGGGGTCAGGGGACACATGAAAATTCTCCATTTGTAGTGATATATATGTTAAAGCCTTTCAAAATCTGCATTTTCATGTGCTCAGGGAAGGTTGTTCCCCCACAACTCCAACAAGGAATCAGACTGGACACAGTCCTGATGGTTTCAGCCCCTGCAACTTCCTCCCAAGGGGACTTGCAGGCAGAAGCTGGAGAGGAGGTGAGATACCACCTTTACTGTGCTCTTACATCTCTGATACCAGCCTCTACATTACACCAAAGGGATTTCTGTGTTCCTCCCAAAGCTACAGCATTATGACTGTGTCCTTTTAGGAACACAGAAAAGGATGGGCTTAAACCAGATCCAGCGGCTTTGTTTTGGGATTTGCTTACCTCTTGCATGGTGTGTTGTAACCCTGAAGTTCCTGTAAAACTACCTTATTCCATTAAATATTTAACAGAGATTTAATTTGACAGGAGTTAAGCAAAAGCTGATGAAACATCTCCAGAAGAGAGGTATCCCCTTAATTGCAGTTTCAGCTGGTAAAACTGGAATGAAAAGAGTGGTTTTGTGCTGTCTGCTTCTGCCCCAGCATGGCCATGGGGTGGTCTGGCTCAGTTCATCCCACCCCATGCTGGCACGTGCTACAGGGGTGAAGCACCCAGCAGGGAAACAGACAGAACCCATGTGATGGGTTAAAGTTGAGCTCCTACTACGCTGAGTATCTTACAGGCATATGTCAAAAAACCACGGCTGTATCAGGAAAATGTCACTGATCCTTGGGAACAGATGGCAAGAAACTAATTCATCCAGAAAATAGAACAAGGAGTATTCAGTTTCTTCACAGTGCCACTAAGCCACTGTAATTCATCAGAAAGGCTTATCTATCCCAACAACCCGGCTCGCATCCCTTTCCAAATCAGACTTGCATATGTGACATTTTTTCCACTTAAGACACTCACCAGAAATTTTCCATATTTAATTATCACATCTTCCTGGGTGTTTTTTTTTGCTCTGACTAGCACAGTTTTGAAGGAGAATGAAACTCTTGCATTAAAAAAAACCACCCCTAAGCTCCCAAATCTCACAGGGAAATTATTTGGGGCTCCCTCATGGCAGAAACAGTGACTTCTCAGGGGACTGAATCACTGACTTCACATTTCCTTTTGTTAAAGAACGAGAGGGAAATCCCTTGGGTATTTTTATAGTGATTTTTTTTTTCCCTTTTTGAATAGGCAGACAGTCTGATATTCTTTTTCTTCCTTTTTTAAGAGACAATCATGTTTGATTCTCATCAATTTTTCAATACATCTCCTATCTGTTGTCTCTTTACTGCTTTTGTCTTTTGCTCTAATTTCATAAATGGGTTATCAAGTAAGTCTGAGACACAGAAACAGAAAAATCTTTGCTGTTTCTTTCAGGAAGGGAACTGTTCACATAAAAGTCTCTTGTTACTGAGGAAGACACAGCAAAAAGACATGAGGGACACCCCTCCAGAAACAGGTAGAGAGGAAGCGAGTTTGGTTTTTTCTTTTTGGTGGTTTCTTTTTCTTTTTCTTTTTCTTACCCTGGAGACAGGCATTGTTAATGGATACTGGATTTTGGAAACCTCAGGTCATCATTCCTGATACTTCAGTGTGGATGACCACCTGCAATCTTTAGCCTTACTTCATCCCACGTGCAACCCACACTCTTCCTGTGGTGGTGTCTTTTTCAGGACTTGGTATGCTCATGCAAACTTTCAGGCGACTCCAGTTTCTGTCACTGTTTGAAGTCCTTACATGGTCCCAGGGCAAGGTAGCTGGTGGGGAGCCTAGTTTTGCAAAAGCATATTCTGGTTGGGCTTTTTGGTCAATGTGCAGCAAGCTGAGAGGAGGTAGACAAAGTTACTGGGGGTGAACATGAGCTTCTATGTGTCAGAGGCTTCTGTGGGATACAGTGGGGACACTGGGTATTTCAAATGGCTGCTGGAGAAAAGGAAGAGAGGGGAGAGGAAGCATGGAAACAGAGAAGCAGCCTCCTTTCCTCTCCAAAGTCTAAATGTTGAGGGTGTTGGATACAGTAATCCATTTCAGGCTGGAAAATCTTAAATGGGATTTGTCCAGGTCAGGAAACACACTTGAGATTAGAAGGCAGAATAAATGTAAATTAAATAATAGGTAAAAGATAATCTTCTCTCCAAGTGGATAACATGGTCACAACTCTCTCCTTTTCTGTTGCTAGAGGAAGATAAGCCAGTAGTTCTATTCTGTGACAGGCCACTGGAGGAAGGAGTGTGCACTCCATGACAATCCTTGAGCCAGAGGTGTCCTTCACGTGGGGCTGATGATTTAACCTGCTGCAGTGCTCCTTGTTTAGGGAGGACAGGCTGCTCTTGGGTTATGTCTGTGGCTCTCACATCTCTCCCTACATTACATGGCCAAGCAGCACAGTCCTGTTTTCCCTTCCACGATTGCTCAAAGATCTTACAATGCCTTCCAGTAATGGACTTGGTCAGAGACTGAATGGGAACTGCAATGAATGGCAGCAGCACTTCATACAGAAAAAGGTTATTATAACCAAGCTAGTTAAACATTTTTATTGGGAGGAGGAAATGCAGGAGGGCCACCAGTACAGGCAGAACTCCAACCAAGTTGTCTCCTGGCAGGTGTGGGTGCCTGGTAGGGAGGTTGATGCACTTGATGGAGCAGATTAGAGAAAGGAATCTGGTTAATACAAAGTTTTTAACAGTAAGTGCATCTTCCCCTCCTTGAACGCCCTGCAGACAAACTCAAGAATGGCACGGCTGTAGGATAACCACGAGACTGTGATCTGATCCTGAACACAGCTCGTGAGGCCCAGGTGAAGCTGCTGCATGATCAGTGAGGGCTTGGATGTCACCCTGCAGGCTCAGAGCTCTCCTGGGAGCTGATCTCTTCCAGATACACAACTGGCTCCCCCACTGATCCTTGAGCAAACCATCCTTGGAGACCCCACAGTCGAGTGTCCCCACTTGCAAACACCATGTTTTGTGTATGCGTGGTGGGCATGGCCCATGCCAAAGCAGGAGGCTCCACCTGCCACCACAGGGCAGCTTTAGCACCAAATTTATGGGCACCATTTTGGTGAGCTTCAGTTTCAGAGTGCTGGGAAAAGAACAGCCATGGAGATGAAGGAGAGGTAGGAGTGAAGAGGACATTGAATAAACATCAACACAAAAATACTAATTTTGCAGGGCAGAGAATAGGTAGGGAAACACTGGGGAGTGGAAAAAGTCATTCTGAAGGGAGCACATGGCATGTACAGAGGAGAAATGGGTGCAATAAAAATTCAAGCTTAGTAGGTTGAAAAACACTAATAACTGTCCATGGGAAGAAAAATACACTGAAGAATGAGATGAAACACTCATTGCTGTGGGACTTTCAGGTGAAAGACAGCTATATTCCCCAATAAATACCACACTATTGGCCTTGGGAGAGTGCCAAGACATATACCTGATTTTCTTGTAAAGTCAAAAACTAAAATATTATTATTATTCATTTTAGCCAAAATAAGCCATGGGACAGTGCAGTAAAAATGCGCAGATGCTTCAAGTGCTGTTTTCCAGATGTCTTGCATTCCGAGGTCTGTGATTGTCCCACTTTGGTGGGACATCTGACATATCACTGCAGGAATAAATGGTATGGTGAGGAGCTAGATACTTGGATTTGAAACCAGAAATACTCACAGATCTTAGATCTCTGTTCTCTGGCTCTCACCAGATTGAAAAATTTCATAGTGATGATAATTAAATACTGGTTTTATTACAATCCAAAAACGTTAATAAAAACTTTTAATTCCACACTGACTGTTCAGAGTATCAAAAAAAAGGTATAATTTAGTTCCCTGTCATGAAGGCACAACGTGAATTAAAAGGCAGTGACCAAGTAATTAGGCTTACTTAGAATCCCTGACTTCAGCATATCTATGGCCATCTTGTTAAATAAGACAAAGCTCAGGAAGCTGGGCATGGAATACATTTTTAGCACAGCTATATAGGACATCTTGTCCAGAAATGGAAAGGCAGATGCTGCAAGTACACAGCCCTGGTTCATTTACTCATGTAGGACTTTTGTTTTCACGTCTAAAACCATGAGAGGGGGTTGTGCAACATGGTTTACTATAAACATGCAGTGTGAAAGCCCTGTGAGGTTCCCAGTGACATCCAGCTGTGGGCTGCACTGCTGCAGGAACATCTGCCCACTCCAAGGTGGGAAGGACTGACACAGGACAGAGATGGGCCATTGAGGAAGGCCGTCTCCTCCCCAAATGTGGATGTGTGTGACCAACACATGCCCAAAGGCTTCCACAGCATCTGCATGCAGTGTGTCAGTGAGCCTGGTGTCATACCTACTGCTCACAGGCATCCATGTCCCAACACCTCCTGACAGCTGAAGCATAAGGAATAAATGGGAACTGGGAGTGAATTCACTGCATATTCCTAGAATTCCAGGCAGAAGAGCAAGAGCTGCTTCACCTCCACTCAGACTGGACAAAACACGAGCCATGGTTGATACCAGTGCTGCCTTGGGTTAGGCTGGCATGTGATGCTTTGACAGAGATGGACCTTTTTGGGCTCAAATGTGTGCCACGGTACATTCAACTCACTATCATTAAATACCACAGTGAACTGAGACAGGTGCTACTGGTCTGAAAATCTCCACAGACCTCGGTGGCTTTCAATACCTGCAGCTACTGTTGCATATCTGAGCATGCTTGAGGCATTTTTAAATAAACTGCTGTCCTATTTGAGGTCAAACAGGTTTCACTATCTTTGGGGTCACTTTGTAACAACTCTCCAGACATCTCAGTTTCCTTAGCTCAGAAGTACACCTTAGGAACTCACAAAACAACACAAAAAGGCTCTGAGACTGTCAGAAGCACCCTGGCAGTGATCATATCAGGACTGATCCCAGCTCCATTTTGCAAAAGGCTCCTTCTACTTCCTCTTTCCTTTAGTCTGTACTGTACCTGGCACTGCATCTAGTTTTTGGGGGGATACTTTAAAAATACTGGTGGCACTATGGTTTCTGTAGAGCTGGGGAAATGAAAATGTATTTCCAAAATTCCCACTTCCTTGTAGTGAAGATCAGGCATTACACCAGTTCACATTCCCAGACATTCTCCATGGTGGTGCCCTTTTTCAGACTTTGTGTTATTTTAAGTTATTTGCAAGTAAATTGATGTTATACATTATCCAACAAAGAACTCATTGTTTTATCATTTATTTTATGCCTTCAGCTTAACTAATGAACTTTGTTTACACCAAGAAAACATAAATACCATCTTTTCACTTCATGAGAATCTTTAATGTATTTTTGTACTATTAAGAAATAATAGTACAACTCTATTAGAACAATGGGTGATGAACCCAGCTCTGGATGGTTAAGATGATTTTTTTTAAGCACACATGGTGTTGACACTTGCTAGACTCTAACAAGCCCAGGGGAGGATTCCTTAGCTCCTGTGGCACTTGAACTATTACGGTAAGGAAGAGGAATACAACTTTGCCCAATGCACTCATTTTTGCAGGGTTCTGTGAGTCCAGGAAAACCTCACACTGTCAATCAGTGGATAAAGGAGGTAAGCTAGCTGTAGCCAGGACTTACCTGAATACCTTACAGCTGTCCTTCTATGATTACTTACTTGCTACTTCTATCACTCTAAGGCTCAGTAATGAAAACATGATTTTTTAAAAAATGAAGTCACAGTTTCAACACAAATGGTGAAACACTGGAACAGGATGCCCAGACAGGCAGTAGATGGCCCATCCCTGGAAACTTCAAGGTCAAGTTGGACAGGTCTCTGAGCAAACTGAATTAGTGAAAGATGTCCCTGGTTATTGCATGGGTTACGTGACCTTTAAAGGTCCCAAACCACTGTATGACTCTGAGCTAGGAGGTGAGGGCAAACCACTCTGAAAGCAGCTTCTCTGCAATAACTGTGTGTGACTTGTTTCTTTGCCACTTGGGTGCAGCCAGACTGAAGGCTGGCAGAGCCCAGAGCAGAGCAGATGACCCAGGTTAGCTGTCGCCTGCAGGAGCATCCTTGCCTGGCTGAGTGCTAAACCTCATTGCCAAAAGCAGCCCAAACACTCAGGGTGCAAATCGCCACACAAAGCAAGTAAGTTGCAAACTTCTGAGTGCTGTTCTAATTTTGGAAGGAAGTCACCACCTCTGACATTGGCTGGTACACTGGAAAACCTGGTTTCTTGTCTTGCTTTTTATGTTTGGTGAGCTCAAGGCCTTCATAAACGAATAAACACAGTTTTAATAAACTACATCTTGAAACTGTCAGCCTCTGAAACACATATGCCTGTGGACACCATTGATAAATCCCACTTCAGAATGCCTGTCACTTCCCACAGGACAGGCAGCCTTTTAAGAAACCCATGAGTGATAATCCACTACTTGAGCAGTGCTATGAGCCCACGTGGGACAACACAGGATGCCAGCATGAAGTTTCACTGCGCTTGGAGATTTTTTAAATCTAAAATGGCTAATTGTTCATACCTAGTTAACTGATTTATTTTCTCCTCTGCTTTGAACTCATCACTTCTAGCTGGTAACTAGTGGGTATTAATGAGTGACAAGTGCCTTCAGTGAAAATCCAGGTAATTGCTTCTCTGCTACAATATCCACGCATTCCTGCCAATCTGTTACAGGGATATCCCCTCCCACCCCACAACTCCTTTGCTTCCTGCAAAGGCATTCAGATACCTGTGAGCACAGAGATTTGCTGTGACACCACACGTGGCTTACCAATCATGGGGGACTCTATGAAACTCCACGAGTTGGTCTGAGGGACGTAGGACTGCAAGACCCCCGCGGCTCGGCCGGCCTCGTTGACCCCCCCGAAGACGTAGATCTTGCCCCCGCACACGGTGGCCGCGGCCGAGTGCACGGCCTTGGGCAGGGGCGCGATGGTCTCCCACTGGTTGGTGATGGTGTCGTACCTGGGGACGAGAGCGGGCACAGTGAGCTGAGTGAGCAGCGCTGGGCAGCACAGGCAGGCACAGAAAGGTGGCTTGGCAAGCAGAAGAAAAGCAGAGGTGGAAATGTATTTTTTTTTAACACCTTGCAAATTCAGCCACTTGGTAAACGGTGTAATGAATGCTTTTCTCTAAGGTTTTAAAACATGGATAGGAGGCCAGAGAAAGCTGGTTCTGTTTTCTGTATATGCCTCTCAAATCTCATTATAGTCCAAGGTGCAGAAACTCGGGACATCTTTGTTGAGATGTCTTCCACTGATTAATTTCTTTTAATGAGTATACAATGAGATTATTCTTGCTAATCAGTGTGGAGATATCCAATAGTGACTGTGGGCAGGCAACTGTTAATATACTTCAGTTGTTCAGCTTGTGGAACACATCTCACCTGCAACATAATGCAACATGATAGCTCCTTTTACTCCAGTTAACTGACCAGCAACTCTCATTTTGTGCCAGAATAAGCTGCTTCCATTTAATTTTCGTTGTGCAAACCAAGCTACATTGCTTCATTTCTGGATGCTGCAGCTGTTAATGCCGGAGTAAGATTTCACCATTGCATTTGTATTTGACATGAATCAAACAGAAAAGAGTATGCATGAAAGTGCTAAATTAGTTTTAAGGTCATCAGTATCTGATTTAATTAAGTCATTGACCATAAGGGATGTACAGTTAACAATCCATGGATGAAGATTCATTTTAGACAATATCACAAGTACAGGCATCCCTTTTTTTTGAAGATAATGTGGCAGGGATCCAAATAGCTGCTCTAAAATGAGTCTTGGAGACAGTGGAGAATAATGTGATTTTTAGGTTTCTGTATTTCCATGTAATGACAGATGCAGTCAAACAGGAGTTTCCTGCATAGTGATTTTTCGGAGTTGCTGACTGCCAGAACAGAAGCTCTCACCACCCATTCAGGGCTTTTGCTCTTAAAGGCAGCGATATACAATATGCAAACATGAAATGAATTGATGAACATGAACCCATCTGCAAAATGTGATTTGGCAACAAGGGAATTCTCCCTCTGTAACATCAAATTTGTCCCTCAAATTTTCACTGTTCAAACTTAGGGAAAATAAAAAGGAGGAAGGAATGATAAAAATGGCATAAACAGCAGAAAATAATGTGCTTAATAAAAATGCACTAATGAGTTTCCAATTAATATAACTGAAAGTAATTAACCCACTCATAAAACTGAAGCAAAAGCAAGAGGAAGGCAAACTTTAACTAAAAAAAAAATTAGGAAAGTCCCTTATAATGAGCATGGAGAACTGCCTTGTATGATGTTCTAAATTAGTTACAGAGAAATTAAATTCATCTACAACAAGTGATCAAAGGGAAGAATTATAACAAGATTAAACAACATGGTGCTGGGAGCATTCACAATGACACACCTTTACTGGGCTGATTCTTGTACCAAACCTGAGCCTGCAGATGCTTTTTGACTGCACAAGCAGCTCCTCCAGGTAAGCACCACATGCTGCATCTCCTGCATTCATTCACAGCACTCAGAGGGAGCAACACTGACATCCACCCGAGCAGATATGCAAAAGAATCTCACATAATATAAAGTTTCACACATTGCTTTTGGGACATACTTTGCTAACTCAGCTACTGCAGTAATTGGTAATTTAATTTTTGATGTCTCGTTAAAAAAATTGGCTATAATTGGGCATAGAATGGGAAAAACAACAGAGCTGAGAACTGACCTAGTGTTCTTTCTGTTGTTCCTCCTTTAGGACCATTCCACCTGTCAACTGATACATTTTGTCTCACACCATCTACTCTGATTTAACACCAAGAACACTTGTGGGCAGTCAAAGTGGTCTGAGATGGGGGTGGTGAGCAGCCAAGTCCCTTCCCTGTTGCTGGCAGAAGTACCTGGCACACTTCAGCTCCCAAGACAAGGAGATTCTTGGCAATGACTTTCTGGTTGTCCCAATATGTTTTTGGAAAGAAGGGGTTATATCCTTCACATATCCTGGGGGCTGGGTGTGGCTGGGGCCTGCATCCATAGGAATACTGAGGAAAGGTTCAAATTACAAAAACAATCATCCTTTTTCTGGATTCATTTCCTTACTGAGGCCTCAGGTCCCACAGATCCTATTTTTAAACCACTTCCACTGCTCTCTGTTTATACTCTGCAATGACAGAACTGATCTTTCTTTCTCCTACTGTCCTTCATCTGCCAATGAGAAACCAAAAATGATGAGTCCCTCTTCATGTGCTGAAAGCCAAAGGCTGAAAATCTACTGGATACAGGTGCATCTGGTGAAGCTTAAAGCCCCACTCTTTTCTTAAAGCCCCCACTCTTTTTCTCATTTGGTTTAAAAAATCAGTGAACCATAAAGCAGGTGGAAGCAAGTCCTTGTCTACCTAACATGGGCACCTAATGTAGGTTTTACATGGGCTCTCTCTTTAGAGAGTGTCTATTCCAGTCCTGAGGCTGAAGAGGAGAAATTGATGCCTTCAAGATTTCCTGACAGCTGTCCACCAAGTCCCTCCATCCCCCTGGAATTTATTCCTCCAGTTCACTCCCTCCTTGCAAAATGGGTAGACTTGATTTCTAGTCTGTTTTGCTTCAGTTTCCACCCACCAGAAAGTTTGTTTCTTTTTCCCTGTTGGATTATAAAGCTGTCTGCTTATCAAATCTCTCTCTTTCACATATGGACGTGCTGAAAATAATAAAGTCAACTCTTTACCTTCTATGGGATAAACTAAGTAGTCTAAGCTCCTTAAGTCTCTGCAAGGCAGGTTTCCATCATTTTGGTCTATCTCAAGTCAGCTCTTAATGTGTTCACACAAGGATTTGCACCATATTAACTAAATTGGTTTAAAAATGAATGAAGGTGAACCTTTGTAACCTCCCAGGACAGAAAATACTGACACCTGCTTTAGCTCCCTGCCCTAGGGCTTTTCCATCTGTTGTGTCATCTCTGGCACTGCCATCACACCACGGCCACGGCTGCTCCTGGGGCTCCTGGCTGCCTGTCACACCAGCCCTGCTCAAGGGCCAGCAGGGAGGAAACTGATTTAAAGAATAATCACTTTGATCTCTTTCCATTAGTCAAGCTTTGCATTTGAGTCCCCTGTTTGAAGCCGTAGATGGAGATGTAATGTGAGCTGGCTTCAGGCCAAGCAAAGGTTTTCTTCCCTCTCCTCCACCGCTCCCTCCTGGTGTGTCCATGCTTGTCCTTGGCCGTGGGCTTGTCCTTCCAATTTGCTGAACTTGAATCTTCAAAGACATCTCCTTTCACACGGCTGACTCCTGGTCTGCAGTCCTTGCACACTCATGTGTGCTTTTACACACCTGCCCTCGTGCTCCTTCCTCTGCCCCAGCAACCTGCCGGTCCCCAGCCCTGCAGGACACGTGTGCCCACCTGTCACTCACATGTCACTTGCACTGAGCACAGGGATCTCATCTGACCCTTGTGCACTCGCTACCTGTTGATTTATGTATTATTCACACACACCTTATATGTTTTTAGATCTCTTATATACGTGTATATGCACATTATCTGTACATATAATGTATATGTGCATGATGTAGTTATCATTTATATACCCATGATACAACAAATGATCTGAACCCAGCAGAAAATACAGCTCAGGCTTGAAGAGAGCACATGCAGAAATAAAACCTTGCTGGCTTCCACAACTCTTCACTCTTAGGATTTAACCTGTGGGACTGATCTTCCCTGTCCTTCATTTTCATTCACCTCCTCCTTCCTTGCTCTTTCCCTACCACCTCACTATTAACAGCAGAAAACCCTTCATTTCAAGCTGTGCCACTTGCTTCACTGCCTTCTTGACTTTTGATCTCTTCAGTACCTGAAAACATACTTTTTTTTCCTCCTCAGTACTTTTTTTCCTCCTCTAGGTTAAACAGCCATATGTGTATCTTCATTTATTCACATTATAAGATCCCTACATCATGGTCAGCCACTTACACACTGACCATTTCTGTCAGTCTGTAAGAAATCCTTCAGTTATTTAAGCATTATTTAATTATATTTGCAGGAAAGCTTCTATTTAAACTAAAGCAGTACAGTGTCATATTGAACTGCTCTTCAGATGATTCACATATTTAAAATCACAATAATGGATTACTATTTTCTGACTTTTTACTCTTCTTCTGACAGGCTTAAGAAACTATGCTAAGAAAAGGCAATATATTTAATTTTTTCTTTAATCTAAATAAGATCTTTTACAATCATTGAGTCCAACCACTAACCCAGCAGTGCGAGGCCCACCACTAAACCATGTCCCTCAGAGCCGTATCTACATGACTGCTAAATACCTACAGGGATGGTGACTCCAATGCTCCCCTGTGCAGCCTGTTCCTGTGAAAAAATGTCCACCTTCCTTGGGGGAGAACCCCTACTTCCTACATGATCATATCTCAGTAAAACAGTAGGTTCTGAAGCAGTTTCTAAAATGTATAAAGCTTATTCTTTACACGGATTTTTTTAGACTGTCTTCAACGTATGCACTGCCAACAAAAGTAATCTTCCAATTTTAGACAACCTTATTGCAAAAGTGCTGTCAGGTCAAGGGGATTCATCTTCTTCTGTCCTTCAAACATATAATAACCACAAAGCACCCACATTTCCACACTTTCAGTCACATACATTGTCTTGTCAGCATACGCAGCCTCCTCGGCTCTCAAATTGCATACATTACAGGGCCCATCCATTATCTTAAGACCTAGTTCGTGGATCCACTTCATTTCACCAGCTCCCAACTCAACTCATATCTCAGAAGAAGACAGAAAGTGTAATACTTCTCGCCTAACACCTAATGACTTGCTTCCTGTCACACAGAACCTTGCCAGAGGGGCTTGATGGAGAACTGCAGCCATGCTGTTATTTCCCTAAACACTCATTGCAAAAACATAACTTTCCCTGAACATATACCCATGCACAGCCACAAAAATGGACTTATAACTCAGCCCCTCTGGCACATGCATATTATTTTAAGATGAGTAACGAATGACTCCTATTCATCTGTTTGTGATTGATAGTCCCATATTATCCATCGAGACGGAATTTTTGCTGCCTCCTTTCAGACAAATGGCAGATAAAGGGTAAAGAATCTCAGCCCTGTTGAATTTGATGGGAAAACACCTGCTGTTTGAAGTGGCACCAGAATTTCTGGGTGAAGCTGCACCCTTCAGCATCAATGACACACCTGAAAGCATGGACAGAGAGACACAGCAGCTGATGCCATAAATCATTACGAGTCCAGTGGTCCCTACTTGATTTAATGTTTTATAATGGTGCAGCACATGTATTAAGTGCAGGCATGTGGTATCATGTATAGCTAAGGTGGTCTGACATTTGCTTTCAAAAAGTAAGATGCTGTAAAAAACATATTTGTAAGGTTTTAACCATTTAGGATCAAATATTAAAAGAATTCCATGAAAAACAGGTGGAGAGAAAGCAAGAAAGAAACTGGGAGAAAATGCTATGTTCTCTGTCTTCAAAGACCCACTGCGTTGAGACACCCTGCAGACATCATCCTCTGGGTCTGCTCACTGGTGAGGTCAGGGTAAGTCACTTTGGAGTGGAGACATGCCCTTCACCATGCCAGCAGACACACGTCAGAACCTGGCCAAAGCTGGGCATGGTCACGCTTGGGCTGACTGAGCAAGCAGAAAGGAAAATGTGGTCGGGAAAGATAAGCTGCATGTGCACCAGGGGAGGTGGTAGGTGGTCCAGCAAGGGAGGATGTTCAGCCTTGCCCTTCACACTGGTGGCACAGCCCAGGACTGCATTGTAGGTCAGGCCTGGATAATCTCGTGCACCTCCACCTGGGGGGATAACAGGGCTATAATCCCAGAGGCCTCCTGGTGAAAAACTGCCCCAAACCCAGGAATGTGTGTCTGCAATTCCACAGTGAAGAGATGAGTGATAACTTTAGAGGTAAATGTAATTTTTGGCATCACTTGACATGGAGCATATGACCATGACACATTATTTTAATTTAGTGCTTTTATATGACTGCTGGAATGACAGAGAGGTTTACCCCTTACTGAGAGATTGCATCACGCTGTACCATCCAAACCAACACAGTGTTTGAAAGACGAATGTGCAATCCACACAGAAATATGGTGGGAGAAAGTTGGTTTTTTGTAGCTCTAGAGGAGGGGAGGGAAGAAAAGCAGAGGCAAAAAGTGGGCATTCACTGCTTGTAACACAGCAGCCAACTCAGCAATTAAAGTAATTTTAGTTTGTATTTTAGTGTGTTTTTTTTCCCAAAGCTGCAATCCAAATTCAGAAATCCTCACTGCTTGCAAAAATAGGTACAGCAATTTAAATTCCTGAACCTTGCCTTGTCCAAATGGGAAGTGCTTTTGTGTGAAAAGGCCTGACTTTGTTCAGCACTGCTAGGAGAGTCAGCCTTCCCTCACCTTCATTTCTGACAGCAGACCCTGAAACATCCTTTACAAAACACAGCTTCAGCCACTTCTGTCACCCCCTACTGTCATTTTAATATGAAGAATAAAAAAGGAAACATCCCCAAACTTCTCTCATTTCCCAGCATAGCCCAAAGGAGGCCATGTTGCAGTTTTTCCACGGCTCTGTCTCACAAGCCACTCTATAGACAACAGCAGATTAATTATAACCACGGGTTTAGCAAATCCCCATGACAAGACATCCTTATTGTGGCTGAGACAGTGTGCACTGAAATGATAGGGAGGAAATCTGCTCCTTTCCCACATCCAGGGCTCCTAGTGGGCTTGGTACAATGGAAAACCAGCACTGCTGCTCTCACTGAGCCAAGCTGGGGCCACCAAGGGCCTGAGTGAGTGTGACTTTGCAGGCTGCAATGTCATCTGTGGTGAGGGCTGGAGTGACTGACATGAGAGGGAAGGAGCAGGGGGGACTCCGCTTGATTTAGGGTTCATTCAGATGACCAACATTTTGGATGCTTTAATAAACCATGAAAATCAGAACAGAGACAGAAATCAGGCCCAAGGAAAACTGAAAAGACATAACATAATCAATGACAACTATCAAGACTCTTCAATAGCATTCTTTTGCTGTTTATCTTTATCAAGAGGTGAAATGAAATAGCATCTTTCCTTGGCTCTCTTCTTCCTGTGTTCACAAAGATAGTTCTGCTAGTTAAAAATTTACTGACTTAAATTATGGGATGAATACCTTCAGACACCAGAAACAAATCTGCCAAAAAGGATGAGATTTGTTTCAAAGCAAGTCCTGTGGGCAGGGCTCACCTTAAGTTCTGGGTGAAGAAGGGGAGCAGCGTTCACATGGTCAGTGTTATGACTTAACATTCATTCCTTGCTGTCTGCATTTCCCTGATGGCTGAGAGCATCATCACCAACGCAGTGCCCAACCTTTTGAAAAATGTGTTGTTTTTTCCTTTCCCAGAAATCCTTCCTAATGACCTATCCCTATTTGTCTTGTCTGTTAAGGCAACTTTTACTGGAAAATGCTTGCTTCAAAATGTTACTGAGGAAGTATTCAAATTCAGCACTTAAAACTGACAAAAATATTTTTTGTTGCCATATTCACTTAGGAAAAACATTTCCCAAATATGTTTCCCAATTAAGTGTTTAGGGAAGGCTTAGACTGAATTGATATATTTGGAATAGAATATTCTTATAAAATACATTTCAAAATTAATTTTATTTTTTAATGAAAACATTGATATAAATATAAAATATATGGCTTTACTGAATGCCATGGGTGACAATTAGTTGGTTTTGGCACTTTACTTGGTGAAATATTTTTGTTGCACTTTTGCTCCTTCCTGTTTTTTGAAGTTCCATGTGAAAAAAATTACATCTGGAGTCTACTTGAAAAGAGAAATTTCCATTCTCTCCCATCTTTGTTCTGCCAGGAATTCAAAACTGTTTCCATTTATTATTGGTTGTTTTACTCTGAACTTGGCAGGTCCCAGCCCCAGGCCAAGACCACCAAAGGGAGGATCTCCCAGCCAGGTCAAGGCTGAGGTGCTACACCAGGAAAACACATACAAGAAACTTACTTTGCTGTTGCTTTTTTGGATTAAAAAAAAAGTACTATTGTGGTCTGTAAAGAATTTCATCAATACTAAATTCAAAGGGAGTTCATTAGTTCATTGTATAACCTGGAAAAATGTCCAAAGAAGCTTAATTCCTCTCTTCCCTCCCCTGAGCAAAGCGAGAAGCTGGCAACTTTCCTCTCTGGTTTTGAAACAATGCTTTCCACTGAAGCTTTTAAATGAAATCTAATCCTGCCCACTTTCCTACCTTCTTAGCTGCTATAAAAGCTTATTTTAACACATACAGTCCATTTGATGTGTCCTTTAAAAGGCAAACGGTCCTTTAGCGTAGCATGAAGGAAAAGCTCCAGCAAACAACACACGGTTTGGGTTTTTGTTGGTTTTTTGGTTTTTTTTCAGTTGTGGGTTTTGGGGTTTTTTACCTTTCCACATGGTCAACGTTGCCTGCCACACCGACCCCTCCAATGGTATAAATTTTCCCATCGTACACCAGACTGTTATGCCGACACCTCGGGACTGTCATGCGGGACACGAGGTTCCAGTTATCGAGCAAGGACATGTAACACCAGACATCAGCCAGCGTGACACCCGACTCCATTCCGCCTGGCGCCCACGGGGGGAGAGAAAAGGGGAGAGTTACGTGAGATCCTGCAACGGCAGCAGCTCTGCACACAGCAATCAAAGCCAGTTACAAAGTAAAAACTCTTCAAATGACATTTGACTAATTAAAATAAATCACCCTCAATACTGAGCATCTGTTCCGATGATGCATATCTGTGTCATTTATTCATGTGCCCCAAAGGCTGAGGTTTTTTTTTAATAAGATGACATAAAGAAATCAAGATGTCAGACTACGAGGGACACATACATGAGGGGATAGACCCTTCTCAGTGTTCATAAATAACTTCCAGTCTATTAAATTACTGCAACACTTGCAAGAAGATGTCAGGAGGCTGAGTGTATCTTGGCTTGCGAGACACAGGCCAGCCTGAAACCTAAAATGCTTAATACAGTGATGGATTGAAGCAGCACATATATGGGCACGATAAAGTTAGTGCTTGGACTGTAGGTTTAATTTCTAATTTTCTGGGGGAAATTTCTTATTTATTTTCATTTGCAGATAAAAGACAGAACCAGCCGTACCACTCCTGTAAAACAGTTCAAGATGATCTTGTGAAATATTTATATGGGTCACTTTTTAACTTCTGCTTGAAGCTTCCAAGGTAGCCACTTAGTGGGTGTCTTACTATCCTGTTTTGAAGCACAAAGAGGTGAAATGATTTATTTGGGACCACACTAGGAGTCAGTGGTCAAGCCAGGAAAATGAACTAGACACAGTTCCATGGTTTAACAAGAAAACCAGACTTCCTCCTTGGCATTTTGCTCTCCAAACCTATGCTATGCAGTGCAAGGTCCAGTACTTGGAGCTTGCAGCAGGCCATTCTCACTTCAGTTGGTTCCCCTTCCCTTTTTTCCTGTGTCTTCACATTTGAGCAAAGCAAAATATCAACTGACTCTTAGCTGCATTTCCAGCTCTCCTTATTGAAGCCACCAAATATCATCCAGTCACTCATCCAGTTTCAAGGGAAAGAGCTGAAATGAGCTTTGAAATTAGGATTCTAAGCTTTTGTTACTAGGTGTGGCACAGCCTAAAATGGCTGTAGATATTGGAAAGCACCTCAGCTAAGAATAACTAAAAGCCAACATCTGACAAAAGCCTCCCCAGAAGACTTTTGCTCCAGCTGCTCTCAAGCATGGGCAAACAAGCATGGGGAAAAAAACATCAAGAAATAATTTCCAATCAATTCTTAGGGTCTCTATGCAGTATTAATGGAATTTAACACCACAGGCAGCAATTTACTGCAGAAAATGCACTGAGAGAGCTCGGCAAGGGAAAGGCAACAGCTGTAACCCCTTACTGGTACAGATGCCAGGTGCATCTGTGCTCCCAGCGACATCCTCGGATCACACATCCGCACCTCCCTGCCCAGCCCCCTCTTTTAATCATCCAGCCCCCACTCAGCTGCCATCAGAGCTTTCTTGCATTGTCTGGTGGGAATTGTTTTACCCCCTCTATCCAAGCAGAGGTACCAATAGACTGCAAAAATCCAGATACCGTCATGCTCAGGGGATGGTGTTGTCAGATACTTTGGGAGTTAAAGCCTTTTAAGGAGCGTGGTCTCAGTTTCACCAAAACTAAGAAGATTATAGGGCTAGTGACTACTGTCAGAAGACAGGTTTCAACAAGTACAGAACATGAGTGCTCCTGTAAGCAAATACTTTAAGTGTAGGTCACATATTCAGCAGTTCAGTCTGTCTGTCTCAAATTCCATAACCTACCATTTAGATTCAACTACAGAGAGTATTTTAAATTGTGTTTCTATGGCAGTGAAACCTCTTTGCATGCTTGATGGTTGTCAGACCTATTTTCTTCACGTTGCAACTGCAAAATATTGTTGTTGACTGCTCTGAGAGTACGTTAACACTGCAGAGAGATGGAGAATGATAAAAGCAGGGAAATCCCTCTCTCCCAACATTCTTCCCACCTTTTTTTTTTTTTTCTCCCCAGGAGCAGCTGGGTAAAACTCTGGCAAGTCCTGTTTTGTCTGGGCTGCCTGTATTGTAACTTTTCTCCCAGTAAATCTGTAAATCTGAGGTGTGAATGGGTTGAGAATAGCCCTCTAGAGGAAGACTGGGGGATACTGGTGGACAAAAAATAGGAAATGATCCAGCAAAGTGCACTTACAGCCCAGAGAGTCAGCGTATCCTGGGCTGCATCAAAAGCAGCATGACCAGCTGGTCAAGGAGGTGATTCTCCCCCTCTACTCTGCTCTCCTGAGACCCCACCTTGAGTACAGTGTTCAGCTCTGGGGTCCCCAGCACAAGAAGGACGAGGACCTGTTAAACTGAGTCCAAGGAGGGGGTGTGAAAATAGTCAGAGGGCTGGAGCGCCTCTCCTATGGCGACAGGCTGGGGTTGGTCATCCTGGAGAAGAGAAAGGTCTGGGGAGACCTTATGGTGACCTTTCAGTATTTAAAGGGGGCCTATAAGATGGAAAGAGGCCTGTAGTGACAGGATCAGATGTAACCGTTTTAAACTGAAAGAAGGGAGATTTAGATTGGGCATAAGAAAGAAATTTCTTACATCAAGGGTGGTGAGGCCCTGGCACAGGCTGCCCAGAGAAGCTGTGGCTGTCCCATCCCTGCTCAAGACCAAATTGGATGGGGCTTGGAGCAACCTGGGATAGTGGAAGGTGCCCCTTCCCATGGCGGGGGGGAAGTTTGATTAGGTGACCTTTAAAGGTCTTTCTGAATCCAAACCCTTGTGTGGTTCTGTTTCTATGGAATCTGCTGCTTACCTGAGAGATAGATGTTGTCTCCAGCGCTGACCACGCTGAAAAACTCTCGGTCATAGAAGGGCAGGCTGGCCAATGGGTACCACTTGTTGTTTTGAGGATTTAAGCAGGTGACTGCTGTTAAAGCACGTTGGTTCATGCCAATCATCTGGCGACCCCCAACTAAGACTATTACCTCAGCTACTCCTAGGATTCAAATAAGAATAATAGTATTATAAAAAAGTGGCATCTCTCAACCAGGCAGGAGCCCATCCAAAAATACTCATCAGTCAGGGAAATTTTAATGTATCGTATATAAATCTGTTTTAGAGTCTGCAATCAAACCACAAAGGGTGAGAAAGAACAGGAATGTGTGTGTAGGGGGAGCAGTGGGTGAGGAATGACACTATGAACACTCTTGGGAGAACTAGGGAGGGAGAATGCCATCTGGGCAAAACTTGGGGAGAAAGAAATAAAAAGGCAGTTCCATGTAAAGATGTCCATTCATTTCAACAGTCTGTGAGTGAGACTTGCAGGTAGCAAATTTCTCTTCCATTGGAGAAAATGGGCATTTTGTCAAGGACTGTGATAGCTTTGGAGTGTGGTCATTATCCACCAAAAGCCTGTTTGGACTTTAACCTAAATAAAGTCTTCTCACATTAAAAGCTAATGTCGAGAAAGTGAAGCTACGGTTATGGATCCTCACCCTGATAGTCTTCTGCATGCACTCTATTAACATATATTTTTGTGGTGGGTTATTTTTTGTTTGTTGGTTTGTTTTGTTTGTTTTTGTTGAGTTTTTTGTTTGTTTGTTTGTTTGTTTTGGTTTTCCCAGGGAAAGCTGATTTTCCAGACCCAGATAACACGTGCTCAAGTCACAGATCATGGTCTTGGTCCACCAGCTGCTAAGAAACATGACAAAGATGCCCCCTGCCTTAATATAGTTCTTTACTGAGCTTTATCTGTGCTTGAACAGCTCCCCCAAGCCCATAACATGCAAGGTGTCCAGCAAGCCAAACTGTCTGTTCATGCAAAACTTTCACGTTCACATCTCTGAGGTTTTATTCCCGCTTCACAGCCAGAGCTGAGTTATATCTGATCTCTGTGTTACTCCAAACTCCTCTCCAGACTCATTCCCACAGAGATGGGCCACAGTATAACCCTGGGATGTTTCCTGACTCCATCCATGAGTCAGGTGCAGGAACGGTTTGGACTCGGCATTTAGCTGAAGTGTTAAAAACCCTTTTGCAGCAATTGGAAGCCGCTGTGCAATGTGCTGCCAAGGAGAGGTAGGCTCAGAAGAAGGACCAGGAGGCTACAAGCTGGAAGGCATCACTGTTTCAGGAGCTGTCTCCTGACTGGAGCCATTGCTGAGATGTGTTACAGTTCCCAGCCCACAGACAAGTATGCACAGGTGCAGGGCAGGAGCAAGACTGCCAGCGAGAGGGATTAGGAGCAGCAGCGGAGAGAAATGTGTCTGCAGAGTAATGGATTATCGTCATTCTTCATTAGCATTTTCAAAAAATATATTTGTGTCATTCAAGCAAGGTTACTCTCTTAAAAGTTATTAAGATAAAGTGCTGTACGGTTTAAAATAAATATTTCTCAGCAACAAGAGATCATTATTTTTGCGCCGTACCAGAAAATCTAATCACCTGTGCAAGACATAACTTGATTATAATCAATGACCTCGAGAGGGCATGTGACATGCAGCAGCGAGTCCACAAAGGGTGTTTAGAGATCCTTTGTGCCTCCATGAATGCTGTTGATATGCAAAATAACATGATTCTATATAATTAGACTCTGACCTAAAAAACTATAATCACCCTCCTTTACCCTGAGAGAATCACTTTTCCCTCATCAACAGGCTTCTGGAAATGGATCACATTACACCTACAATTTTATATACATAAAATAAGCACTTTTCAAAAATCCCTTCAAACATCACACCATTAGTCATCTTCAATGAAAGACTTTTTAGGGTAGATTGTTATTGAAAGTCCTCTACACTTCGTCCTTCTGAAAGGTGCCTTGATGAGGCAGTCTCCCGAAGCTGCAAATGCCGTGGTTTGATATGCCATCTCCGTGCCACATTAGCATCAGTGGCAGTGACAGAAAGTTTTGTCTGGCTTTCTGTTGTACTTATGGGAGGCAGAAGTACAGGCAGCATGTTAAAACAATTCACCTGCTTCATCAGACTCCTTCTTGGATGCAGTTTTCCTATCTGGTATCTGCATTCTCTGTTCAGCGAATATTTAGGACATTTCTCACATCACCATGATATGGGCTCAGCTGGCAAGGTGGGCACTTAATGTTTTTCCATGCATTTTTCCAGAAAGGAAAAATGGGTGTACCACTTTTTAAGAGGACTCAGTTTTTTACAGCTGCTTTGTTTTTAAAAGGGATTATGTTATGTGTGATCCACTTGTTCTGGAGGCATTAAACATTCTGAGCTAGTACTTATCAGTGTAAAAATACCACATTTACACCAGCCTCACCATATAAAAAAATTATACATACAAAGGGCTGTGAAAGTGAAGGTGTTTAATGAATATTAGACAGATGCTCCCCACAAGAGGCTCCATGGCAAAAAAAAAAATTAAATTATTCACCTATTTCTGCAACTAGAGAAACTGAGGCAAAGAGGGCAACAGGCTTATTTTCAGGACAACAGAGGAATGTTACAGTCTCTGTCAAGGATAATAATTCCTCAAATTTAGGCTCCTTTTAAATCCCAATTCAGAAGCATATATCTGAACACCCATGTCCACCCACTGAGAGAGGCATCCAAATTCTGAAGGAAAGTAACAATGGAAAATTGAAGATCGAAATATCAGCAGGTTCTGGGAAGGAGCCAAGGTCTGTGCCCTGTCCCAGGGCATGTCCAGGAAATGTGGAAGCAGGGGGTTGGTGTTGCTGAAGGACGTTTTGCTTTACCTGCAGAGAGCCTGGGCCGGGTCCTCGGGGTCTGCATCTCCTGGCGGGCGTGTGGCAGCATGTGATAACGCTTGGCTTCGTTCACCAGATCCCGGCAAGCCTCCGAAGACTTTATCAACTCCTCATTGTCAACAACATTCAGCAGATAGCTGGGATGGATGAAGGGGAGCCGCACCACTGCCAGCAGCTCTGCAGCATACTGTGAGGGGGGGGAATAATAACACAGGCAGCCTTCGTGTCAGAGTTCAGCCTCTTGGCATCCCCACTTCCTTGCCTGTAAACCACCCCCTGTCATCCAGCCTGGAAACACACTTGTCATGGATGCTGCATACAAGCCCTGCCTAGTGAATGAGTGGGATAGAGACAATGCAGCTCTCAGAGCTCCCTGGCCCAGGCTGGGTTTGGTCCCAGAAACTAAAAATAATCTTCAAAAGGTGGCAATTCCTGTTATACAGCACTGTATGGAGGAATTTTTGGAAATAAAAGCTCATTCTGAACTCAGGCTGAATGGAACACCTTATGCAGTGGAGACATGGAGTGAGCATTTGAGTTATCTGAATTGACCTTGAAATATGAGTGTGGTTGTTGTACTGTAATAAAACCCCCAAACAAGTATTTTCTGGCACTATAAATGTGAAACAGAAGTCTGTTAATAGGGTAGATTTCAACAACTGTGGTAGAGCCTGAAAGATGTCAACCAATTGCTAGAAATCTTTCAATTAGTAGAGTTTATTTGTTGGTGAAACAAATTATGTAGCTCTAGCTTTTAGGGAAGTCTGACTCCAGAGGGTGCTATAGAAATACTGACAGTAAGTTTCATCTCCTAAACAAATACATTAAACCTCAGAGGGTAAAGGACATCTGAGCAAATGAAGCTGTCTGTCACCAAACACGGCTTAAAGGAGAACAAAAGCCCAAGAGAGAAACTGCAATCGAAAAGGCAGGAGTCCATCCCCAGATTATTCTTTTTATATAAGCTGGGTATATCACAACACTGCATGAGAATACAGTGAAAAGCAGAGCAATGGGAAAACACAGAACTCCAGAAGCAAGGCAGACAAACAGGATGCAAACTAAGGTGAGCAGCAAGAAAAGATAATCATCTGTTGCAATAAATATTCATACAGCAGCAACATCCAAAGATCCCAACAGGGATTGAGGCCAGGATGCAAATAAATATTCCTAAGGTCCGTGCTGGTCCCAAGAAACTCTGGGTGCCAGCAGCATCTGCTGGCCTGCAGATGCCTCTGGTCCTCCAGAAGCCACTTGGCTCTTACTTTCTTTTTCAGCAGCATGCCTGTCCCTGCAGTGTGTGAGAGCCAAGTCACAGCAGGAACAGGAGCAGGAGCAGAGATGGGAATGGAGCAGGGGCATAATGAACAGGGAGAGCAGGGATATGGCCTGAACTGGGTACTGGGCTGGGCAAGCAGTTGGAGGATGCAGTGACACCTGTGAGCGCATCCAGAGCTTCCCTTATCCCCACCCAAACTGAAGAAGCAGGCTTAAATTTAGAAGGAAAGCAAAGGATGTCTCCTCCAAATTCACACTGCTCTCCTCCTGCAGAGCCACATTCCATGGTGAAAGTTCTGCCAAAGCAAAAATGCAAGAACTTGTGGGGTTGCAACAGCTGAGCCCCACATGTGCCTGCAGATCTGTGGTCCCAAGGAGATGAAGGGTGTCAGGCTGACTCCCAGCTCCCAGCTTATCAGCTCTCCTCAACACTAGAGATGACAATTGTACGAACAGCTTAAAGACTTGAAGGCTGGCCACTCTGCAACTGTGTGGGGATAAAAAGGTTGTTTGGCGATCCAAAAGGGATGGAAAAGTGACAGTGCTTCTCTGCTGGGAAAAAAACAACCACTGTGAGCAGTTTGTTCCTGACTCCTTGCTACTACCTCTAGTGTGACACAGAGCCAAGTAGGGCTTGAGATCACTTCATCAACCTCAAAACATAAAAGAAGACACTCCTCCCTTGCTGAAATCCATTTCTGGGGTGCTTTCTAGGAGGTACAATGGCTGCTCCTTCCCCGGAGCCACAAATGTCAGGCACTTGGCTGCAGATATCTTAATGTCATTACCTTGTAAGAGAGGAAGCAGTGGACATATGGCAGTGGGTGGCAAATCTCTGACTTCAGGAAGTGCTTTTTTTAAGAAGGTTGGAGGCGTTTAACCTTACACAGGAGCCAAAATGAAACGTGGCATCGGCACAGGGGAGTAACGCGGAGAGAGCGTACGCTGCCAGTGGGTGAGACAATCCCACGGGGGAGGCTAATTCCCACTACAGGCTGCTCAGAAAGCAGCACAAGTTGCTAAAGGCAGTTTAAATAAAGCTATAAAATATATGGAGTATACACAGCAGCCAGCATCTTCCCTTGGTGTGGTGCGACATGCCGGAGCTGTCCCTGACCGTCCCGAGGCTGGTCAACAACACAAAGCGGTGCCAAACACCAGCACAGATGGGTGTGCCACTGCATGGGGACATGGTGCTCCACTACCACCATGTCCAAAAGCTGGCTGCCAATTAGCATTGGGAGAACAGCTCCTATCTGTCAGGGATGGGACAATTCCCATGGGCCCAGTGGAGTTACTGCCTTCATTTCCCACCTTTCCCTGAATAAATGGGGCAGCACTGCTCCCTGAGCACAGCAAGCTCTCCCTCTCACTCGCCCACCTCGCTTTAATTAGATAAGTGAGAAAATGTGATTCTGTTTCTCTCCTGGATTCCCCCCCCTCCTTTCTCTCCTCTTTTGTCTGAGCTCGTGGCTTATTTTGAAGGGGAATAATAATTAGAACATGCTGCTCCCTTTCATCAGCTAGAAAGCTGATGTCACATATCAAAACCAATGTCACTTTTCACTCTTATTCTTCCCTTTGCTCAAACAGCTACAGAAAGCTGGCTCTGTGTGTGTGTCTGTGTGTGCACGACCACACACAGCCATGACTTGGGCTTGGTGCTGAGAGCATGAAGGGTACATAGAATTGCAGTGTTTTTCACCAAGGGATTTGAGGAGTACGAACCATGGCAGCATCTTCACAAGACAGGAGAAGCTTTTATAAAGCAACCTCTTTTCGCACCAGTTCTTTTAAGCACTATAGTCAAGGGTGAATTTCATTTACCCTCACTGATTTAAGAATATTCAAGTGATTTAGGCAATCAGCAGCCTTTTTCTTTTGGATTCTCCCTTATGAAGACTTCCCAGCTCTGTTAGCTATGATTGTACTAAATATCCTGTTACTATTATCCTTTTCATTTAAGACTGGAATAAGCACCATAAAGCATTTCAACCTCCTTACCATCTGTTATTTGCTCTCCATTCTCTCTTGTCTTTCCGTTGTGCCTTATACAGCTATGAAACATCTACTGCACCCACTGACTTCACCAGTTATCACAAAAGCAGCAGAATACATGCACAGGACACAATGCCAAATTCATCTACCTTGGGTCCCTGCAGTCGTGGTTTATGCCTGTAACCTGGGAATGTTTTCTTTTCCCTGCCTGGCTGCAGGTGCTGGCTGGACAAGTAGAATATTTCTCAGGTTTTTGCTGGAAATCACTTATGACTACTCTACAGCCTGCATCACATGCCAGGGTGAAGGAGAGAATATTAATACCCTTTCTGGGCCTAAAATTAGGAATTACCAACTCATAAACACGTAGGACCACATCTCAGGCTCCTTGAGAATGGACATCATTACGCAAAAATCTAAATATTTATTGTTTAAAATGCTAGGAAAGTTTTTGAACACCATCAGGACTGGATTTTTTAGGTGATATGAACCTCACTGTAGCTCCTGTTGGGCAAAGGGAACTGCTCAGGTTTTGCACCAGCAGATCTCATCCATAAAGTCCCTGCTGAGTGATGCTGCCAGATACCCTGTGCATGGCCAGGGTGATCCTGCAGGAGCCAGAGCCCTGCTGCCACATGAGCAGTCTTTGTGGACATTTACTGGGGACACAGGAGAGCAGAGGCTTCCGAGAGATACCATCTGTCCTGCTTCAGGGCACATATTTCAGTGATTTTTCACTGATTTCAGTGGCTGAATAGAAAGCAGGATCTTCCATTGCAATCACAAGTGTGTTTCATATGAAACAGGGAGGGAAAAATCTTAAGAGATCTTACCTTTCCCTAATTAACTGAACATTTCCGGGGAGAGATTCAGCTCTAGATTCAGACACCTAAATGGGTTCATACAAGCCAAGTATTTACTTGTCAGGCAGACACGTATAAACTCATGTTATAATAAAGAGAGATTTAGTCAACACACTTAACAGTCCCCAGGGCAATGTAAGCTGAGAGGATGCACTGAGCACCAGGGGAAGCAGAGATTATCAGCGTCCCCTTCTGGGCCAGAACTGTGAGCCATCAGCTCCTGGGAAATGGATTGTGTTCCTCAGACCATACTTCACACGACAGCACACTAAGATGTCTACAACCATATGTCAAACCAAATTGGAGGGCAATTAATTCTACCCTGTGGCAGGAATTTTTGTGTCCATTTGTCCTGGGTGTCCTGGGTGTGCTTAGACTTTTTTTATTATGCTGTGAGGAAGTCTAAGTGCTACCACTGGGTCAGTGTTGACTCTGAGGAATATGTGCCCAATGTGACCACCTTGAGGCTGGCCCTTTCAAGCCTTTCCCTAATAATCTGTTCACATACAAGTTACTCCCGTCTCATTAGGCAGGCCAGTGTTTCAGCAAATGAGACTACAAAAGCCTCTAATGTTTTTTTTAAAATTCCTGACTGGTAGTTTGAGTGAGAACATTTACTTTGCTAAACTTTTTATGACATTTCTTCTCTACTGATTACATCAGTATTATGAATGCTTGCTTGCAAGTGGGCTTTGTTCTGGCATCTTCACAGTCTCAGTTACAAAACCCATTTCACTATCACATTAAAAATAATCTTTTTATTCTCAAATCTCTAATCCAGTAAAATCCTCACAAGTATTTTCCAAAAGGACTGTCATTGTACTGCACAGACTTGGGCCACAACAGTACACAGTTAGATTTTAAAGGAAGTATGTCTACTGCTACAGGGTCATATTTCCTGCTCCTTAAATGCTCCACTGGAAAGCTCTCAAGATTTTTAACATTTTTGAAATAATGCCTAAAGAGGTCAAAATAATGTTTCCCTTATGCCTTATAATTCATCTGTCTCTTTAGTTTACTGTTCTCCCTACAAAGGCCCCTTTGTACT